GTTGTCGGTTCTTCGAGCTCCATGGCCGGCCCATTACCACATAAGTTTAAATCTAATATAATAATTGTAATAAAGACATCAAACACGTCATGTTTTTCGTAAAAATTTAGAGGATGGACGAATTTAGCTCGTTGTTTTTTTTAAATGTTCAACTTACATAATTTTAAGAATATGGTAAGAGTTTAAGAGATATATAACCCAATTAAAACGTTCATTAGATATTACCCACTATGATGTTTTTTATAAGTAACCAAAATGTGAAAATATTTTTTCTTCAAAAAGTAGCAAAATTGGTGTCATTACCCATAAATTAAATTGCATCGAAAACACACATCCTTGGTTTTCTCAAAAATCATTATGTTCTGACCTAAGCAAAGGTGTCTCTATTTATATATTGTTATAATTTGGTGTAGGTATTCTGTACAGAACCGAGGGATTTGAGATGCAAGAACAATTATATAAAGTGTATGGACCTATCGTGAAACTGCCCGGCATGTTTGGTGCACCGAGCTTAGTTTTACTGTTTGATACGCAGAGTATGGCACATGTAAGCGATTATTTATCTTTTTACCTTTACTAAATGTTAAAAAAATTCACGAATACCTTTGTGTTCAAATTGTTCAATTGATGACGTAGCGCACGTTTTACTTAGGGGGAGCCTTCCAAGTACACCTTGCCAACCGACGCATTTTTGGACTGGTCTCGTGTTCATTAGCAGACATTCAATTCAACATTCTTTAGATATAGTGTTAAGTGAGAGATTAATACTGGCAAATATTAATGATGTATTTAATCTTTCCTAAAAAGGAACATGTCTATGTGCACAGTAGACTGTAGCGAGCTGATGATGAAGAATAAGATATGTTAGAAAGGAAGGATAGATTGGCATTTGGAGAAAACCTGAACATATTCCAAAAAAGCGACAGTAGTGTAATGGCAGGGCGCGGATCGCGAACTCAAAAAGGTCGTGGGTTCGAATCCGCCATTCGACTACTGGCGTGAACCACACAAGCAATTTAAGCTTACCATGAGTGGTTAAGGGGAATATTAGTAATGTTTATAGCATAGTTAAGATTCTTTTTTTTTTTAAAAAATCTTCTTTATGCTGTTGATATTTATTAAAGTTGTAAGCATAACTTTCTTTAAATTGTATTCAATAGTTCATTTTAAATTATTGTAGTCACCGTTTACTGTAAATTTTTCAAAGGTTCTGCGAAATGAAAACTGGATGCCGAAACGTGCCGGATTCAAATCATTAGAACATTATAGAAAAGAATATTATAAGAAAAGTGATGGCAATACTGACAGACTCACGGGACTTGTAACTGAGTACGTTTACTACGTAATTATTAATTCAATTTTTTTATCTTTTCAGAGATAAAAAATATTTAAATCCTGCTCCTGTGCTCGAGACTAGCAAGATCGTCTTTGATTTCATTTTCTTTTAATTCTATTAATTCATGGACCAATTTTGGATTTTGGAGCTAACTCTAAAATCCAAAATTGGTCCATGTCCATATGTAAATCTAAATTTACATTTTTTTTAAATTGCTGAGGCATCTTCTTTCTGTCTATTTATATTTTAGTGAACTTGTAAGAAATTATTTGAAAAATAAGCCAGCTCTTCTTTTTATGATGAGATCTCATCTCTCCATGGGTGTTAGGTAATTCCGTGGTATAATTACAATTTAAGTGTTAATATTTGTGGTTAAGCTATTTTCAAATACTTACCTACAATTACGGCGTATTTTTTCAAAATACAGGCTTTTCATTCTTGTAGTACTGATCTTTTATTTGAAGTATGGTTCATCAAAAGGCATTAGTAAATTTTTGGTCCAGTGCTCATTACATAGACTACACAACTATTGAGTTCTCATGATAAACTACGTTATAAATACGTGAATGTTTTAAAAATATACTAATTAAAATATTTATAAAAAAGTAAAGTAAAGTTACAGCCTATATACGTCCCACTGCTGGGCTCAGGCCTCCCCTCATTTCTGAGAGGGTTTAGGGCAAGGAAGTGTCCGCCGCGCTGCCCAAATGCGTGTTGACGAACTTCACATGTCTTCGAAATATTTTTTTTTCTTATTCCTCAGACATGCAGGTTTCCTCACGATGTTTTCCTTCACCGCCGAGCACGTGGTAAATCAGCACTTAAAATTGCAATTAACAATTTCATTGGTGCCGGCGGGGATCGAACCCGGGTTATTCGCGTACTGTTATATTTACAGCGAGCGTTAACCACTGAGCTACCACGGCTCTAAAATATTTATATAAATCTGTAAAATATATATTATAAGGTTTCATAAATTATTCTTTGTCAGTCAAGGCGAACAATGGAAGAAGTTGCGGTCCATGGTTAATCCTGTGATGCTGCAGCCAAAAACTATAAAGCTACTCTATACTAATACTATCTACTAATACTAGCTACTAATACTATCTACTCCACGATACTTGACAAAGTAGCGGAAAATATGATTAAAAGGTAAGCTACTAAAAATAAGTACGTTCCACAGTTTTTAGAACTACAAAAGGGGAATGTGTTTGACCACCCTATGAAATGAAATTGATGTTGCCACTTGTTGTAATGTCTTATATTTACAAAACACACAAAAAAGAAAACGTGATTTGTTATGACTATTAAATAATTTATTTACGTATGCACAACTCTATTTTTCACCGATGAAATAAATATTAACGAAATATCACTTTTACATGGTTTTTGAGTATATTTCTGTATGTATTACTATACTCTATGATATTCCGTCTCATTGAAAATAATCGTCTTTTATATTTTACTATCGACCCGGTCCAACTACCCTCATCCTTTTTTTTTATAACACGGTAATTCTCACAAATCAAATCAAATTATACATTTAAATAATAAAAATGAAATTTTTAATCGACGGATTATACTAACTATTTGCCCAATATACAAGAGAGTTTTATTACTGTTTTGATGCTGTTTATGAAATAAAAGAAGCATTCAAATGTTTTATTCAATATTGGCCCATACGGAGTTATTATTTATGTTCTGAGTTCAGGGTTGACAATAGGAGTATATGTATCTCATTAAAAAATAATAAATTTCTAAAAATCATTGATTATGTTCATAGAGAAGAAGTACGAACATAACATAGAGGACGGCAAAGTCCCGGGCGAGGATGAAATTGCGGAGGAACTTCTGAAATCAGATGAAAAACCAGTGCTTGATTTCCTTCAGAAGCTTTTAATTTCATTTCCATGTGGCAATACTCCAGAGACGTGGAGTAGAAGTGCGGTAGTCTAGTTATTCAAGAAAGATGAAAACGCGTTGTTGAAGAACAACAATAAACCGATTTACCTTCTGAGTCTACGTGCACAGTCTAAATTATAATATTCAATTATTGTTATTTAAAGAAAAAATAGATTAGTATTACCAGTGACAAAGGATTTGCTATTGATCACCGTTTCGGTACGGTTTCCGTATGTTACTGCGAAAGTTACTGCAATACGCCTGAATTCAGAAAAAGAATTTTTGTTCGTCCGGACAGGAAAAAGCATATTACATAACTTGTACTTCTGATACAGTTATGGATCGCTCGTAACCATTGTGTTTTTAAAATAAATATTGATATTTCTATTAAAAATATTCCCGCATTGCATCAAGAAAATGAAAGCTGGTCTCATGTCACGCTTTGAGAACTTTATAACAGTAAACTTTACTTAAACTCTAGTGCAAAGACTAGAAATTTGCCTTCGATTGGTGGTACCGGCACAACTGTGAATAATGGAATTCAGTAATAAAATGTAATGTAGGTATGTGAGTAGCACGACGGATTCTCGTGAGCAAATGAGCACTCAAAAGTGAGAATAGGCCAGTGACCAGCAGTGGGACGTGTGCACCGTTGTAATCTAGTCTAAATGTTATTGCAATCCAATATTATATTCTGTTTTGCTTTGGTAGTTACAAACTATTAAAATGTGAAATGTTTACATTTATTGTTAAATTTCATATATATATATATAAATGGTTAAAGATGAATTTTAGATGAAATTTATGTATAAAAATTGCTTTCTGTTTAAGAATGAAATCAATTCGTGATGAGAAGAATATGATAATAGGGGATTTGGAAGCGACAGTAGCCTAGTGGCAGGGCGCGGACCGCGCACTTAAAAGGTCATGAGTTCGAATCCACCATTCGACTACTGTCGTGAACCACTCCTAATACAAGCATTTTCAGCTTACCAGGAGTGGTTAAAGGGAGTATAAGTAATGTTAATTAATTGGATTACTAATATTTAAAAAAAAACTAAGCGAAGAAATGAACTTATGGGCTTTGTAGTCTAATGGGGTTGTAGCGCTTGGTGGTCGTCTTAATTGCTTTAATCCTAATCTACCTGCGGATTCTCCTGTAAAAAAGCTTATTCGAATCGTACATGACTTTTCAATACTGCGACCAAGTTAGATTTTCAACCGAGTCTATGGCGATATTACCCAACTAAATCTTATAAGAGAGCGATGAAATTGTATGAAGAGCAAGAAGAGTAAGCTATAAAAATATCATGAACTTTTTAAATTTATGTGTGTAATAATAAATTTAATTTAAATTTTATTGCTGAAATCTTTTAGCTTAAATAGATATTTCATAAAAAGTGCCATGAAGAAGTTACAATCAAAAAAGAGGTCAGAAAATGAGAAAGGAATTTTAGAGAAGCTGCTTGATATTGAACACGTTGCAATTTTAATGGCGAGCGATTTGTTATTCGCGGGCGTCGACTCTGTAAGTTAGTTCACTCTGAATAAAATCAATGCAAATCTGATCATTCTATGTGGTATTGCATTTCATATTTGATAATCTTTGATTATATTAATATCTATAATTACAGGCAGCCCATACAGCAATACTAATATTTTATTTTCTGGCAATAAATCCTGAAAAGCAAAAAAATTGAGAGATGAGCTACTATCGAAATCGGATAAACGACCATATCCGAAAGCGTGTATTAAAGAAGCTATGCGAATGATGCCAGTAGTTGCGGGTAATATGAGAGAAACTTCAAAAGAGTACAACTTACTTGGATATAAAATACCTAAACAGGTGAGAAAATGTGGTTTCATTATTTCTTATTATTCTATCGGAAGTGAAGGTGGTCATTCCATAGTCCCGACTTAGACTTGACCCTATTTTGTTATAGTTAACAGTTTCTTATGGCCAAGTACTCAAAATCTATTTTAAGGTGTCGTTAAATCGCGTAATATCACAGACATTTTGACTTAATGTGATATAGACGGCACGAGACCTAACGGCGTCTTAAAATTGAGTATCGTTTGAGTTAAAGATAGACATAATTCTCATTTTTTATAGGAGAGAGGGCAAACGAGCATATGGCTCACCTGATAGTAAGTGGTTACCGCCGCCCATAATCAAGTGCAACACCAGAGGAATTGCAGATGCGTGGCCGGCCTTTTAAAAGGGAGTAGGCTCTTTTCTTGAAGGTCCCTAAGCCGTATCGGTCCGGAACAATCTCTGGTGGTAGTAGATTCCACAAGGAAGTTGTGTGAAGAAGAAAACTTCTTTTAAATCGCACAGTGGTGGACCGCCATTCATCCAGATGGTATGGATGGTATCGCGAGTTATGTCGCGATGTGCGATGGTGAAATTATGCGGCTGGAATTAGTCCGAACAATTCCTCACAGCACACTCCGTGGTAGATGCGATAAAATACGCAAAGAGATGCAACATCTCTTCGCAGTGCCGGTGAGTCAAGTTGATCGGAAAGTGCTCGTTCGCCGACGATTCGAACAGCCCTGCGCTGGATGCGATCAAATGGAAGGAGCTGGCACTGGGGAGCCATGGAACAGTATTCCATGTGCGGCTGAACCTGCGCTTTGTAAAGTTGCAGGCGATGAGCCAGCATGAAATACTGTCCCGCTCTGCTGAGCACGCCAAGCTTTTTAGAGGCCAACTTGGCCTTCTCTTCCAAGTGACCACGAAACTGCACGTCACTCGATATGTCGACGCCGAGGATTCCAATACTGGCTGAGGCAACAAGGGGAGTGCCTTGAAACTGAGATACGAGGAAGGGGTTTTTTTAGCGGTAAACGCGCAAACTTGTGTCTTCTGGGGGTTAAACTGGATTAGATTTAGTCGCCCCCAGTCCCAGACATTGTTCAACAAAATTTCGACTTCAGACACAAGTTTGTCTCGGTACTCTGCGACGTTTTCCCGAGAAATATTGGCACGGCCGGTGTACGAGTATAAAGTATCACTAGTGCTGTCGTCTGCCTAGCAATGAATGTTACCGGTTTGCAATATGTCATTGATATGCAGAAGAAACAGCGTTGGTGATAGCACGCAGCCTTGTGGAACACCAGCGTTAGTGGGCTTGTAATCGGAGCATGTACCGGTTACTATGATCTTGATGCTCCGACCAGCAAGAAAACTGATGATCCAATTGCACAATTTCTCGGGAAGCCTGAGAACTGCTTGGCCTGGTCGCGCAGGCCTAGTATGAGAGCAGTCATGGCCTGACTTTTATTCCAGCCGTTCGCCTTCATAACAGCTTCGAATTGGATTTTGTAGGCGAACTAGGAAGAAGTCCCGTCGAACGGTGGCACTTTGAACTCACGTAGCGAAGGTGTAGTAGCTACTACGGGAGCTGTAGTTCCAGCCCCAAGTTTGAGTTCGTCCAATGATTTCTTCATGTCAACCATTACGTTGTCAACCCGATTATTCACTTGGTCGATTCGGGTGTTAGCTTCCTCGATTCAGGTTTCAGCTTCCGACAGGCGGTTGTCATGTTGAGCAACCCTATCCTTCACCTCCCTTATCTCTTTACCGAAGCTAGCGTGAATGTCCTTCACGAGGAGCATCTGCTCTTCCTGTCAGCGAGCCTGTTCTTCTTGCCGCTCTTTCAACCAATGGGCTTGTTCCTCCTGTTGGTGAGCCTGCTCCTCCTGTCGGCGAGCCTGCTCCTGCAGCATCAACATCAGCACCTAAGTCAGGTGCTGCAGATGTAGGAGCTACTGACGGTCCTGCAGAGGGCAGCTGGCCCTCCGACGTATGCGGCGTTGCACCACCAAATCTTCTTTGGTACGTCTCCTACTGGCGTTGTCTTCGGGTACGGACACCCCCCGTATCCTCCTAAGGTAAAATCGGCATGATTTTATCCCACTTCTGACAGCAATTGTTACGCGCTTAGGGTTCGTGACAATTAAAACTGCCGATTCAATTAGCAAAATTAACACTTTAATTACCGAACACCAATTAAAACTTAAAGGACACTAATAATTAACTACACTGATTCAATTTAATTCGCTCCGAAGCTTCGCTTGTATCGCCAAATTCAATACTGCGGTGGCGGGCTTCAACGCCTTTATATACGCCTTTTTTACCGATACATCCATGATATACCAGCAAATACCGGCCCCCGATCGACCAGGTGCAGAATGTTCGAGTGTGGAGCTTTTCAGAAAGCTTACTTCTTCTATTCGATACTAGATGGCGCTGTTGGTTGAAATTTCAGTCATAGCACTTTCTGGAAAGCTCTCCTCACTCTGTTCCCCGACACTAGATGGTACCAGATATAAACTTAGGCGCGCAACAATACTATAAGTTCATACTGCATAGATGGGAACAAAAATTAATAAATTTAATCTAGAGGTAGCCGTGGTTAACAACAACATTGGGAAGTCGAACGCCGCAGTCCTCCCGTTACCATAGGTGCTGTAAAGTACTTAAAACGTCGGGAATATAATTTTTTTAATATACGCGATAAAATCCGTTAAAACTAGTTTTATTTAAATGTGTCATACTATACATACTACTATACATATATGTCAAATACAAAAAATATTGTCATTTTTTATTCTTTCAGATAAAAAGCTACTCGTTTAGATATTTCAGATTTGGTTATTAATAAACACTTATCGCGTTGGTTGCAGCTGTTACTTATATAATAGTACAACAAAATGATTGTAAGTAACAGCTGCAATTCTGAGAATTATTTTGAATAGATTTCAATTGGATATGTTTTTATGTTTTACTATTTGTGCTATATGCAAGCATATGTTCAGCTGTGGACTTTCATAGGCTGTAATGCATTATGACGAAAGATATATTATTTGTTACAGACTTATGTGACATTCGCACATCAGTATACTTCTATGATGGACTCTCATTACCCAAGACCACGCGAGTACATTCCGGAGCGATGGACAGTTGATAAAGACGATCCCTTATACCACGGCAATGCTCATCCGTTTGCCTTTAGTCCTTTTGGATTTGGAACTCGAAGCTGTGTAGGTAAGTTCATTTGTAATTTTGGTTTTAAAACTTACTAATGATCGTCCAGTTGTCGAAATTCGATTGTAACATTTTTAGGTAAGTATATTGAGCAAGCTGTATTTCACTTACAAATCTCAGTATTACGTATTTTTATGGCATGTGTTTACAACGGTACTTTAATATATAAAACACTAGATATCTGAATGTATTCGAGCCACCGGGGGACCGGGGAAAGTAGCCATAGTGTTTTCCCCGATATAGAACTGCCTGTAATTTTTGCGGGGTAAATCTGCGCACACAAAAGCAATAAACGGTCAATACAAAACACACATAACAATTAAAACAATTAAACTAACAATTTCACACATGCAGATACATTATAACAGTATCGCTCTGATACAGCGACAATGTGGAGTGTTCCGTGAGTGATGCAAGTGCAGCTGCATTGTGATACACAATCGGGGCAATATGCGGCCGTTCGTTTGATATTAGGAGAACATGTGGCAACAGAAGTAACGGTCCGATTACCTTGAACAAGGAATTTTGTAATATTGTCTAAAACACAGATGATTTAAAAAACAACGCCTATCCCGATCAGAAAATTAATATGAAGAACAGAGAATGGCTAAGTGAAAGAGTAATTTTAACACCGATGGATGAAATTGTGGAGCAGATCAATGAACAAAAATCATGTCACATGTCATGTTGTCGAGTATCTAGTATCTAAATCGTTCCCTGTAGAGTTTCTTAACTCTTTGGGATTTTCAGGCGCACCTTCCCATAAGTCGAGGCTGAAAGTTGGTGTTTCAGTCCAGTTAATGCGAAGTCTTAACGTAATAAGACTGTAACGGCACACAGTTACAAATTACACACATGTGACGCACTATTGTAAGAGCAATAATTATGACAGGAACAGCAAAAAGAGAAGATGTATTAATTTAAGTAAAACTATTTTTGCTGATTTTATCGCGTATGTTACTATTTATATTACCGACGTTTTGAGCACTTTACAACACCCATAATCACGGTGAGAAGAGGGGGGGGGGGGGCTGAGGTGTTTTATAAGGATGATTTGCGAGGCTATCGAAATAAAATATGAACACCCTAATTTAAATAGACAAGATGGCTGGGTGCTACCATCTGCTTGGAATCCTATAATTAATAAAATTAAATACAACTGCAAAACTTCAACTGTTTTTACGTGGTAGAGCCATGCTGCGGTTATATTAGTAGTATAGTTGTAGCACGAATGGGTCGGCTCGACCGGGGAAGGACCACGCTCTTTCAGAATACCAGCGTAAAATAGTAGCTTAATGCTGCTGTGTTTCGTATGGTGAGTGTAGAGAACCGGAGACCTTATTTACCGTAAACGAGGCATTCCATCTTAGTCCTCACGGGTGATAACACATCTGCATTTTGATTCGTAATCGAGGATAGATGTAGATGTCTATGGGCTACAGCAACCACTTACCATCAGGTGGAATGTGTGCTCGTTTGTCATCCTATCCTGTAAAAAAACATTATAAATTCATACAGCCCGAAGTTAATAATTTTAGTCTGAAAGAAGTCGTGGTAAGTTATGACATTAAGACGTCGAGCACTGCAGTTGGGAGTATTAAATAAGTTAATATACGATATAACATCCGTAGAAATAGTCTTGTTTAAATGTATACTCGTAGTGTTCGCGTATACATAAAAATTCAATATAAGATTCAAAAGAAATCATTTCCCCCCAGTGGCGTAGCTTGCGGGTTGGAGGGCAGAGGGGGCCATGGCCTGGGGTGACATACGAAAGGGGGTCGGCGGCAAGCGCCACGATATTTTCAATAAGAAATAAAAAAATAACTCAGATCAGAAGAAATTACACAAGAGTTCCAATATGAGCGCGCTCGTCTAAGAGGGTTCGTAGCGGCGACAGACCCAGACTGTAAAGAAGAGCTTATTAAGTCCAGCTTTCTGGGTTTATTAAAATACATAATTGAGTCCAAATTTGAAGATGGCTTACCAAACATTGCATAATGTAACAACCAATACAATACATTTTGCAAAAATCCAACTTAATATACCTAAAAATCCTTAGTTTTTTTTAAACAAACCTTTAGTAAGAAACGTACGACAATGATAATATTTATTTTCACTGTCGTAGCAGTGGCAGTTCTCCCTTTTCCTTCCTCGGACACACTGGTGACCCCAACGTGATCTGAATACGCAACCAACAACCTTCGGCAACTTCATCATCGTTATAAAGTACCCCACCCTATCGCTCCCGAGCAGATATCGTCTGCAGTCTTGACATCCTGCAAGCCATCTAGCTTCATAAGGTTCATCGCAGCACTGGACTAATAATGCTTCCTGTTCCTTCAAGCTACTCTCTGCGCTTCAGTGTTCAGCATGGCTCTGAGCCATACTGCTCGCCTCTGCCTCACGGCACACTCGCAGATTACTTGCATTCTTGTCGACTCACCGCATACTACAAGGCATTCCACTGACACTTGCACATTCATCGACAACTAGACTGTCCCATCGACCTCCGGTCTGAGCAGGGAGGTGAGGTAGCGGTGCTGTCGTCGCGACACAAGCGAAACACATCGAAACCTAAATCGCGCTAACAAAGTTCTGAATCAAAAGCAGTATATGTAGAATAGCTCCTAACATGGAGCGTTGGCCGCTCCCCGGGCAGGACACCTTGCCCGGCGGGAGTTCTCCTTTTTCCTTCCTCGGCCACAGTTGAAATCAGTGTTATTTTAAAGAAAATATTTTATTAATAAACACAGGAATTCAAGATTACAATATCGCATTGGTAAACAATGTTTACAATACGAGATATAGCGTAATCAAAAATAATCAGACATAAAGGCTGTTAAATTTTTGCCGGGGTGGAAGTTCTGATTTTAAGACAGTTTTAATGGTAGAAATATTTTTTTTATATCACTGGGTGACAAACGAGCACAAAGTCCACACACAGTTTTAATTTAATTTCGTTTGAGCCCCACAGAGATGATCCATATATGCGTCCTCGAAAACAAACATATTATCTTTATTGCCCACTTTTTAATATAACTCCCTATTTTGTAGTTTGTGTCTGTTTGCTACTATTTCGTTAATGTTACAACTTTGTAAAAATAAAAAAATCACATTTTTCACAGGGCGTCGCATAGCTGAGTTAGAGTTGGAAGCGTTCGTTGCTCGCGTTGTTCAGAACTTTCACATAGAGTGGTTTGGAAAACAACTTAAACAATATCAAAGCGCTTTGAATTATGTAAAAGGTCCTTTTAATTTTACCTTTAAAGACGTTTGATGTAAAATAATTGGATCAAGAGCAATACATCTTTATTAATGGTAATGAATATTACGGTAAGGTTGTTTTCAAGTATTAACTGAGATTTGCACTACACAATTATATAACACACGATTTATATAAATAATAATAATAATTATATTTATTTGCAAGAATATTGTTGTCCAGTGGTGTTTGAGTATAATTCGTTCTACATATTCTACTTTAGTGGTGTGCAGATATTAACCAATAAATCCAAAAACCTATTCAACAACATGTATCGAATTTTAATAACATATAAATTATTTAGATTCTCTTGATTTGATAATTTATTAACTATATAAAATTGTCAGAAAATACAATTAAGATATATAAGCATAGACTAATCATACTTTTATATCGATGTATATAGGCAAATATTATTAGCACAAGTAAGATTATTATTATAGTTCATTGTCAAATATTAATTATTCTTATCTCAAATATTATATAATGCCAATTATAAATGTTAAATGTCTTATTTTTATTGAAAAGTCTCTAAACTTAACCCTAATTGTAAAAAAAAAAATTATATATAAAATTACGATATATTGTTCTTCCATTTATTTAAATGCGACTGCCTCGTTGGTCTAGTGGTTGTAGTAGTGCGACTGCTGATCATGAGGTCCTGGGTTCGAATCCCGGGTCGGGCCAAAAACTTAATTATTGAGTTAGAAAGTTGGCGGTGTCTTATCCCCATGCCTCGGAAAGTACGTAAAGTTGGTCCTGCGCCTGATCTCTTCCTCGTGTCGGTTTACCGTCCCATCGGATCATGAGAGTGAGGGAATAGAGAGTGCACCTGTGCTTGCGATGGCTAGCCTCCGTTGAGGCTGGCCGCCGTGGCCGAAATTCAGTCTGGAGGACATTATTATTATTATTACTCTGACCGAGCCGGTGCAAACCGGTTTGTACCCCGACGGAGCGTCGGTGAACCTGTCGGTGACAGAACAGAACATCGCTGCGCTATGTATGGATATAGTCGCAGCGAGCCATTTGTATGTAGCTTCCCCTCTGGTCGGTATCTTTACTCATGTGATGAAACGTAAGGATTCATATTATGTGCATCCAGACCTACAATAACAATGTCTTCCTTGTTAAGTGTAGACATAATATAAGTAATCAAAGCTGTTTAAAATTTGTGAACTTGTTGCGTTGGATTTAAAGATCCCCGTAACAATATAAATATTGTTCCACCTGTTTATATTATACACATATTTAAGTTTTATTTTTAATTTCATTATACCATTTGTTTAATTATACTACAAGATTTGCCGATGGGATGAGCCGTGGTAGCTCAGATGGTTAACGCTCGCTGTAATATAACAGAACGCGAGTAACCCGGGTTCGATCCCCGCCGGCACCAATGAAATTGTTAATTGCAATTTTAAGTGCTGATTTACCACGTGCTCGGCGGTGAAGGAAAACATCGTGAGGAAACCTGCATGTCTGAGGAATAAGATAAAAAATATTTCTAAGACGTGAAGTTCGACAACACGCATTGGGGCAGCGCGGCGGACACTTCCTTGCCCTAAAACCCTCTCAGAAATGAGGGGAGGCTTGTGCTAAGCAGTGGGACGTATATAGGCTGTAACATTACATTACATTACATACTACAAGATTTAATAAACGCCCTATTCTCATTCGTCCCTAATCAATAATTATATCCGACAACCAAATCTCATATTTTAAAGAATTTGTTTTCATTTGCAAAATTGTTTATATAATAATATTTTATTAATAAAAATCGTATAAGTAATTATATGTATTATTTTATCATTTATTAAATGCAATACTATTTTTTTAAAACTGAGATGATATGTTTTAAAATCAGTTTAAAATATGTATGTAGTTTAAAAAAAGTTCAAATGTGGAGCACCGCCAACTTTTTTTATGGGATAATGATGGCAAACGAGCACACAGTCCACCTGATGGTAAGTGATTGCTGTGGCCCATAGACATCTACATCTATCCTCGATTACAAATCAAAATGTAGATGCGTTGTCAATCGCGAGGACTAAGATGGAATGCCGTTTCCAGTAAAAAGGGTCTTCGATTCTCTACACTCACTATACGAAACACTGCAGCATTAAGCTACTATTTTACGCTGGTATTATGTGAGAATAACAAATATAACTCCGGGCAACTACTGAGAACTTCTTAACAGAAAAACTCAACAAATGATTTGTGCCTGACCCGGGATTTGAACCCGGAATCACGTGATCAGCAGTTACGCTTGAGCAACGCCTTTACCGATTTGGATGAAATGTTGTATTCAGATGATGTTTTGTTTTCAAGTTTGTCTAAATAGGTTTCCTTCCTGAGATAATATTTTTGAATACCGAGCTAAGCCTTGTCATCAAGATACTATCGCTTTCAAACATTTATTGTTTTTTTTTTTTACGAAATGCTATATTGATGCTGATGGTTGTAATCTGCATTCATTTATGCTATCGCAAACAGGAAAATCAATAATCTTAATAATGTCGACGCGATAAAAATCCCACAAAAATACGATACGTTAGGACAAATTAGGCTTTACAGTTTTGTAATGAAAAAGAGTTACGATAGCCAAGTCTTTAAATTTACTGCAATAGATTTAGCTACTGCTATTATGGCGCTCACAATATAAGGAAGACATTATTTTACTATAGTGTTGCTAAGATTTTACATAATAGAGCTAACTGTTAACGTTGTGTAAGCTTCTATTCATAAGTAGTTAATTTAGTGAACCAGTATTTTACATTTCTCGCTTTAGTTTTTTTGAAATATTATACAAACAAACGTGCTAACAACCAACATGATGGTAAGGGGCTACTCGTACAAAAACCTATGGATACCTGCAATAAACTTTAAAATTAAGACGGCCATCATCCTGCTGCGAACGTCTCTTTTGATGATGCTGCCTCTCTAGCCCATTAAACCGGAACGCAACATTAGCAGTGCACCTGCTGAGGCGGAAAGAAATAGTTGAAAAAGTTTACTGACCCGAAGGGACTTCCAGGGATAAAAAGAGCCCTCCAGATATCTTTCCTACACTTTAATGCTATGTTTGTTATGATGAACGACGATAAAAAGCGAGGTTCTTATAACGATGCATTATACCTTAGACTTTAAAGTTGACAACGCCATACGAGTACTTATTTTGAAGAATTGTAAAGAGACTGCTATCATCAAATTAGGCTGTATAGCAGCTCTTGGTAATTATATTTTCATATTACGGTACGAATTTTCATAGTCATCCGATGGCTACCAATTGAATATTTGTATACTGAAGATCTTTATTTTTTTTCTGTTGTAGTTTTCGTCGCACCGCCGCGATAATTTTCTCGGTTTACCGTAAGTTACAAATATAAAAACTAAAAACTAATATGAATAACGTACCGTGACGTAATTATTTATTTTAGTGACTACAGTGGACTTGTGATGATATAAGTTATTTGACGATAATTTATCAAGCAATTGTAATGCAATGTAAGAGTTATTGGAAAGCTATTCATATTATAATAAAAGTATAATGTACGTTTACGTAACAATACCTTTAAATTAAATTTATAAAGTTGAGAAAAGAACGATGTAATTTAAACTCAACAAAAGGAAATATTATATTTATAAATAAAATTATGTGACGGCCCATGCCTGCTCATAGCAATATTTTATTTGAGATAATAATATATTGTCAATAAATTAGGCAGATATTAATCACCTTTGTATATATGTCTTCCTTTGTTTTTTGTATAAATATAAATCAGTCCTGTTTATATTCACTCTTTATTGAATTATATAAAATACTATAAAATGGTGCTGTTGTCCTGAATTTTAACTCCCAGTTATTATATAGTTTCTAACATAATATTTTCAATAAGATTACGTTTAAGTGCAATATTATGTATTGGTTAATAAATTGGAGCTCATTTTCGTTACAATGAAAAATTAATGTACGTCGGGAACATTTCACGGGATGATTTTTTTATGATTTCAAATGTCGCCTGAAAACGGATAAATCTCCTGATAGACTTCTAATGGCGTTTATTGGTTAAGGAAACCGTGTACTGCTGGTATAAAAAAGGTTGAATATCTTTGAGAGATAAAAAATAAATTATTGCTCTTTGATTCAGTTTGGGTAGATAAGCGTTTACGAGATTTTACATTAATAGCTCCTCGTGAAGAGGAGTTCTGCATTAGTTGCCACACAAACTCACCGATGCTTAGAAGCAGACTCGCGTGCAATGGTGCCGTGATATGATTACTAAATTTTAAGCGGGCTTGACTCAATGTGTTTACGACATTATAACAGGCGATGGATCTCGGATTAATCAGTAGGATCCAGTAACGAAGCATCAGTCAATGGTTTGGTTGTTGTTAAAATGGCTTGAAGGCCTACCAAAGTGAGTGAGAAGCGAAGTCAAGATTTTGATCACTAATTTCTTTCAGTTTGACGAGATATCAGCCGTTGATTCTTAAAGAAAGCCGAATTGTATATTACTAAATCCTTACCATAAATGGTCACTACTGTGGGCAACAAGCGACCGAAAATGAGTCTTCCCGGTTACCGTGTCACGGGGTCACCTTTCCCGACATTGTGTCCACGAACTTAGCCCTCAAAACGAGAGACTTTCTGGACACTACACTGGTAAAGTTTTTGGACCTTCTTTCCCTGCTTTGCCACCGTATGACTTGTTTTTATCCCCTAAAGTAAAAAAACAGCTAAAAAATGTGATAGCTGTGTTTGAGCAGGACGTAAAAGAGGTACATATCCAAAGCAGACTGAAAATAGGGTTTGACGCATGAAACTTTGTAAAGATGCTGGTGAAATTTTTTTGCAAAAATTTAATGACATACTTTAACCGTATAACTTTTATAGATACAAAACTTTCTAAGTAGCCTATGTACGATGATGTAGCTAGAATTCCAGTCTGTGGCTTTTATATAAACACTAATATCAGAATAAGCATTGCGCGTACAAAGCAGGCACAATAATGTAG